TTCCCTACAGCTTTCACTTAATTTGAGGATTTCTTGAATCTGTGACAGTTTTTGAATCTTCCATGATTAAACATGACAAATATCCTGGACATATTACAACTACTACGCATAGAGTAAACCAGTTCCTAGTGCAAGAGGTCTTTGATGAGAAAAACCTGACACCTGGATTTCTCAAAACTTTCTATACATTAAGGTAGAAAAACATGCGTTCTCGTGCCGCATGACATCAGAAGAATGGTAGGTATTCAGAAATACGTACTCTGACCTAACAGGATTGGCTAGGACAAAAAAAAAAAAAAAAAATCTCAATACAGTGTTTTGTTTTAATTCAAAGAAACAATACTTGCCTGATGTACATTCACTACAGATGAACTTTCCTGCTGGTCTCCCAGACAGCCCGAGGCAGCTTACATGAAATGCTCCAAAACATATTCCTTCGCAAAGCAGGAGATCACCTGTTTTTTCACACAGCTTTTTCCAACAGAAAAGTATTGAGTGTTAAAGAAAAATATATGCGTGTGGGAGAAATGACTTTCTCCATTCCTTCTCTCATAAACCTCTCCCCTCACATACCATTTTATTACTCTTAAAATCAAACAGCTTTACATGCGAAGGAAAGCAACATCATTCTACAAGTATGAAAAGATTACTTTATTTCCAAATAAACCAGGGACATGCCCATATGATACAAGAAACAGTACGTACAAGGTTAAATGAGGTAGACCAATATTAACAAAAATATTTTACACAAGTACTCTTTTATCTTAAATTACCATAATAGGATGAAATAAAAAGCATTCTTTTCTCTCCCTTAGTTAGGGAAAAGACATTTTGGCCACTGGCAGATGTGAAAAAATATCCAGCACTTTACTGGAAGAGGAAGCGTGTCAGTTTGACCTGGCTCCCCCATGTCTGTATAGATCAGGCTTGAGTTGGGCTTTTTGGTGTTTTTATCTAATAGCTGATCCAATCAGCTATCAAATAAAAATGCCAAAAAGCCCTGCTGAAGCATGTGATCTATACAGATGTTGGGTGAGCTGGGTCAAACTAATATTATGTCTCTTCTGGGCATGCACTGCACTGAAAGTAAAGCTTTGAGGCAGAGGGTGGTTCCCACATCTGTAAGCAGCCCTCATGGCTAAATTGTCAGAATTAGCATGTGCACAGCTAACAATAGTCAGATTCCAATGGAGCACCATTTGTTCAGTGATTAACCAGCATGTTAAAATAAATCTAATCTCAGGTACACTATTTGCAAGGAGCTGGGGAGAATTTTCTTGTTTGATCCATTACGTACAAACATATAGCATTACTTCATTTCCTAAGCTACAATTAATTTTAAAACAAAGAAACCATATGAACACCATTACTACTGCAAGCACTGCTATTTATTTGCATTATGATAATATCCAGAGGCTGCAAAACAGGAGCAGGGCCACCTCACCCTGTTAGCCACTGCCATTTTACAAATAGTGGAGACAATCTTTGCTTCACCGATTTAACTATAAAGCATTAGTTACCTCTCAGCATTTGTTTGAGGGAGGGACTGCATTCATTTTACAGATCTGCTACCTAAAAAGCAGCATGGCTAAGTGGATCCACTTCAGGTCCAAGAAACGACAAATTTAAACTGCTGTATTCAATCACTACACCATTCCTTCCTTGAGAGATGCAAAATAACTCAGGCTTGGACTAAGCCTACCTAAACAACTTTATCTTCTACAAGCATCTCAGGAACGAATCTGGGAGCAATGAACAACAGCTCCAACTATTCTCTCACCTGACATACATATTCTTTTTTTGCTGCAGCTCCTCGCTCAGATTTTTTAGATGATATAGATACTTCTGTCTGAGTCTCATCTGCACTTTCATAGGGAGACTCCGACCGCTCATCTCCTTGACCATCTGAGACCTAAAGATTAAATGCATACATTAGATAACATGGCATATACATAGGGACCAACACTGTAAAGGAAGCATAGAGATGCAGATCTAAACTAAGATTTTCTGATGTTTACTTGCCTTTCCACCTCTAATAAGTTTTAGTTAGAGCTACAGGTATGTGCTTGTGGAAACCCTGTAAAAAGAACTATACAATCATTGTTTTTACAAATTAAACAAATCATATAAATAAAACCTCACAATATTTCCGTATGACATTTTATTTTAGACCTAGCACTCTACTGCAATTAGCTGATGGCCAATATGTTGTGTATCCCATGACCAAAAATGGATGGGTTGCGTATGAAACAGAGACATACTTCCATGACTGTACTTCTTTGAAGAATGATGTCAGCATATTACTGGGACTGCAAAAACAGAGCAAACTTCAGATCTAGCCAGTAACAGGGTACAGCATCCCCAACTGCCTTGATTCAGTCTTAGGAACACACAAGTGAAATGCTGGGCGACTCGCCAGGGACAACACTGGGAGGTCATTTCTTTTCCCAAGGTAGCCTCTGCATATTCCCTGCTGTGGAACTCTAACAAGCAATGAAATCCACAAGGAGGATGAGGCAGTAAGTTCTAATTAAACAAAGATTGCAAAATTCTCCTGTTAAAAGAGACAAAAAAAATCTAGATGCCAAACCAAAATAACAGTGCAGCCTAAATGTGCGTAAAAGTCCTTGGAGATCTCTACAACGAAAGTATTACGGAGCCTGGATTTCAATCCCACTTTAGCTCTACACTTAATTTGGAACTGAAGACCATAGATACTTGTCCCCCTAACCAGCAGCACGCATCTCAACACCCAGTTCAAGTCTCTTAGGGGAAATCCATAAAATTAATGGATTTAAAATTTCTGAAAAACCATAATATTATTCTGTCTACACTGATGGAAATATCTTAAGTGCATCCGTTTGCAAGTTCTACAAGTTTGAAAAGTATTACTTTTACAGGGGACTACTAAAATCACAAAATAGTTTATTCCTATAGTCTGGAAACTCATCCCATTTAGGCCCTAAATCACGGCAAGCTAAAATCGTGAATTCAGAGGTGCACATCGTTCAGCCTACGTATCCTGAGCTTCTGTGTTATTTAAAACTACATTTAGTTTCATAGAATAGGGGTTGCTAAAGGTAGAAAGAAACCTGGTAGACAGAAAAGAGCTTATTTAAAATGACAGAAGTACACAAAAAAAAATCTCTGAGCCAAATACAGCAATGGACAGAAAAGCCAGTGGATGACAGTAGGGGAGAAAGGTGTTTGAATATGCTCACGTTAACTTTTAAGCAGCTAAACGAAGTGCAACATGATTAACAGATATCAGGAGGCTACTGTTTGAACAGGGAATTTCAAGAAACTGAAGTCCAAAAACACCAATTATGGAAATTTAAAATGAATGGATTAAAAAAAAAAAGGGGGGGGGTTGGTAATTTTAACTTATTCATTGAGTTTAAGACCAAAAGAAGCCATTAAGTGACCTAGTCTTACCACTCATCTCTCAGAGGCTATATAATTCTACCCAGTTTCACTCCTGTATTCCACTCAATTTGTATTTAAAGTATACATTCCAGAGTTCTTGGATTGAAGACATCAAGAAAATCCACTACTTTCTTTGGCCACAGACAGACATTACACTTTTACTAGTATTGGTGGAAACCAGTCTATACCCATAACGGAACAGAAGTTCAGCATGCAGACTGGTTTAAAAATGGTGGAACACAGTCTAAGATTTGCACCCTCCCTGTCCCGTCCCATCCCACCGACCCCCAAAGGGTGGATGTGTGTTCTGTTTGCTATCAATCTAAACTACACTGCTTACAGAAAAATCACATAACTTCGACTGATTCTGCCTCAGGCTTTTTGAATGTCTGTACCTAGCCCTAGCCTGCTTTATTTCCATTAAGAGTTTGTCTACCTTCAGCTTCTAGCTATTGATTTTTGCTATGCCTTCCTCTCTAGAGTACAAGAGCACTCTAGTACCCAACAATTTCTCCCAGTGCTGGTATGCAGTAACCAAGTTCTTTCAGTCTTATTTTTGATAAGCTAAACAGACTAAGCTTCTTAAATCCCCAAGACATTGTCTCTGGTTCTCATATAGATTGTATGGGTTCTCTGCACCTTCTCCATTTTTTTTTACTTTTTAAAAACATGGACAACAAAACTGGATGCAGTATTTCTGTTAGTCTCACTACTCTACCTAGAAGTGGAAAAAAATCATCTTCCTACTTAGTACTACCCTCCTTATACAGTTTAGGATTGCAATAGCCTTTCTGTCATGGTATGACATTGGGAGCTCATGCTTAGTTGCTTGTCCAGTGACCAGAAAATCCTTTCCAGTTAGATTGCATTTAGCTTTAAAATATATTTTCTTGGAACAGTACAACCTGTCAAACAATCCAGACTGCTCTGAATTACTTCCTTATCTTCATTTACATTTCTACTGACCTTAGCGTCAAATGCAAATTTACCAGAAATGATTTTATTTATTAAGCATTAAAGTGTTGATTAGCATCAAGCCATTTTATTGATCTCTGAAAAGCCTGACCCCATTCAGTGCTAATACCCTATTTACTATTTTTTTGTTTTTGAGATTATTAGTTGCCCAGTTTTTAAATCTTTTTCACAACTGCTTTGCTATTGTGTAATGCTAACTTTTTAAATAGAACAGAACTTTTTAAACTTTCAAGTCTGAGTATATTGCCTCTATACAAAAAACATATTCTGTCTATGTAATAGCACAATTTTAAAGCATCCTATCAATCTACTAGGATGCTGCATATTTTGTTTTACACTTATACTAAAGATTTTTCTCTATTTCAAAAGATGCAAAAACATTTTTGTTGGCAGTTTCAAAAGTGCCAGCATTTAAAGGGTTAAAAGAAAGTCTGTAATTGTGAGCAAAGCAAATCAGTCGATATTGGGAGATGTACCTCATCTCAAAGGAGCTGGAAAATACTCTGCTTCAAACAGTTTTATGTTGAAAACGGAATTTGAGTGTATTGCTAGTGGCAGCCATCTTGCTGAAAAGTGGCAGTTTGAGAAAGGCAGTATTGGAGTTTGCTGAAAAACAAAACAGTTTCCATCCTGGTTTAAATAATCTAACACACTTTAACAAAGCTTAAACCTTTCATGTATTAATGCTAAGTAGCACATGCACTAAAATGTTTGGCACTCAATTTTCTTTTCCATGAGCTATTATGCTCTCATTACAGCTAGTCAAAAATGGTAATTTTCAGCAAAACAGCCAGGAGCTATTAGATTTTTCTTTCTGGTACCGAATCTAATTGCTTTTAACAATTAAAAAGAAAAATCACATTTGAGAAAAAACCCACAAAATATCCCATTACTAGTTTCCCCTACAAAGGCCCCTCATCACCAACAAGCCTTCCCAACCTGAGAGAGTGAGCAGGAGCTGCACAGCACGTCTTAAAGACTAACTTAACTTCTGCTGCATCAGGACCTTCTTGTGAAAACAAATAATCTCCCACCTTCCCCAGTTTCCTTTTCTTTTTCTTTAAGCCAGGGCAACATTAGCCGATTATCATCTCGAACCACAAATATGTTAGTTACAAGCATTTGAATTTTTCTACGCTGATCTCAATCTAGAAACTAGTACAGACACTCAGACTAGTTGTTGGTGTGATATGATTATTAGCATCATCATGAAGAATCAAGCTCTGAATATCCAACTGCAGGAATGGACTCAAACACTTCAAATATGGCAACTGCACAACCAGTCTATATGAATGCTAATACCACTTTAACCCTTTCCTGGGACTCTCACACAAGACAGAAACTCTCCAACCTAGTATTGTTGCAGGACACTTGTATACAAGGGGAAGAGGCTTTTTATGCTACCAACCAAATACCTGCAGACTCATACACATGGCCAGAGAGGATGGGCATGAAGTGGCACTACAGTATCCACTTAACAGGGCTTTGCTATATCTGCATTATTAGAGCCCTTAGACATTGAGCAAACCTGACACTATATTCATCTTATTAACTATCCATCTTGCATTAAACTACATAGAGTAAAGAAGGGGATTCCCTGTTCATTTGTAACCCAGTTTCTTTAAAATTAACACTGTGTGAAACCCTGACAGATCTGAAATGTTAGCTTTTACTTTTTGTCCATACTACAGTGCATAAGCTTATTTCGTCCCCGTTGTGCACCTTATTAAAGATGGACTGTCTGCCACAATTTATTCTTCCCTCCTCCAGGACCTCTGTATTTTCAGCGCACAGCGTTTTTCAGTAGTCATTTAAAGAATGCAGCTGCTACGCTTTGAACTCTCATGATAAGGGTACTTAAGCACTGGAACATTTTACCTAGGAAGGTTGTAGACCCTCCGTCTCCAGAAGCTTTTAAGTGCAGATTAAACATACATTTGTCTGCAATAGTTTAGGCGAGACTGAGCCTGCCTTGAAGCAGGGGGTTGGACTAGATGACAACTGTTTTATAATTCTATAATTATATGAAACTAGAAGCTTCAAATGGGAACTTCCAAAAAAAAAAAAAAAAAAAAAAAAAAAAAAAAAAGCTGCACAGACCTAATGAAACACTCAGCCAAGCGTGACCCTTAACCACATCCGCAAAGTAAACTCTCCAGTAACTCTAGGTCACAAAGCTCATCTCCAACCCCATTATGCTGTATAGGAACAAGAGTGTATATACAGCTATATCCTATTCACTACCACTGCCCGACTATGGTTGTCACTATGAAAGAACACCCATGCCATTACTAGGGGCAGATACTTATTCTGGGAGTACCTTTCTGGGAGGTAGGCCTAACAACCATGTCCAGCAACCACACCCAATGAAACTTGTACAACAGACCCACTGCTATCAAACCCCTTGTAATATTTCTGTTCTCATCACCTTTAGCTCTTATTCTGCCCCAGGATAGTCACCATGAGTTCAACACCTCTCCTCCCTCCCCACAAAGTTATCCAAACAAGATG